AATTGAGGTAATATGATTTATTAGTTATCTCATTTGTCATAATAAGATATTAAATATTAATATTTCATGATTGAGTTAAGAAGGATGAAGGGAAGAGTGAAGGGGAGTGAAGGAGAGGGAAGTTCTTAACCAATCAAATTATAATGCCAGAGTAATCGTATGTTTCAAATATTATAATTTAATTAGTTAAAAATTCTTTTTCTCCCTTTCATTTCATTTCTCTTCTTTAAATCCAAATATAAGTTTTTTTTTTTTTTTGGTTTCTCGTTCGGTATCCGAAGTTTCGCCCCGACTAATCGAAAACTCTTACATATTTAGAAGAGATAAAAATGCGTTAAGATCTTTTTGTTTAATTATAAATAAGAGCGAAAATTTATTAAAAAAAATAGTGAAAATGAAAATATAATTTTTAATTTTATTATAATAAATGAGTTTCTAGATAATCACAAATTGATAGAGTAAGACAATTAAATCAAATTAAATGTATAATAATTTATACTATAATTTTATTAATAAACTAAAGTCACAAAACTTTGCAGTGATTAAATGGTACTCTTTTTATCTCAAAATAGTTGTTATTTTTTTAAATTAAAATTTTAAATATAATATTTATATTTATTTATAATATTCTTAAAAAGAAAATAAAAGAAAAAAATATTTTTTATAATTAGATGATTAAATAAATAAATAATGAAATTAAAATAAAAAATTTATTTATCTATATTAAAAATAAAAAAATAATAATTAATTTATAATAAATTCTAACTCAAAATTATAGTTGTTTTGGAAAGACAACCTCATTTTATAAAAATAATAATTAGAGTGGTAAAAAGGTGAGGAGGGCACTTCAGTTTAGGGGCTCGTAGAGTTGGAGAAAAACTTTTCACCTAAAATTTTTTTAATTTTAATTCTTATAAAGTTATTTATATATTTATATATATTAATATTAAAACAAAATTAGAATAAAAATAATATTTTTAATCTATATTTTTTTTATACTAAGTTTTAATTTATAAATTTTTGTTCTTACACTTTTTAAAGGAAAAACACTTCTGCCTAACTTTTTTTTATATTAATTTTTTTTATCAAATATAAAAAAAAGTTAATAATTTAATAAAATTTTATTTTAAAACTTATTAATTTTTTACATAATATTTTTTCAATTATTTTCTCAATAAAACTTTTCTAATAAAGTTGCTAATATAACATTAAAAAAGCCATTAAAAGGTGGGTTTCTAACTTTTCTAACAAAGTGAAATTCCGGAAGCCAACGTTAAGATGATTAACTTGGGCTCAAAATCATGCACAAAAATCAAGATAAGTTATAGTTGCTCATAACAATTTATTAGGCTATTCGAATTAACCTCAATGTTGTAAGATACAAAAATAATTAATTAGAAGAAGAAGAAAAACTAGAGGGACAAAATGGGATAATAAATGAGAGATTACAAAAATTAATCTATTAATAGGAGATTAATCATTGTAACCTCTCATTTAATAGATCCTTATTTTCATTGACTATATCCATCCTTATTGCATATGCAAAAATTTCTTATTAATAACAATTTCATTTCAATTCCATTTTCTTTTAGGAGAATCATAATTTATAGAGATCTCATAATTGTATATAATTTTAACATTGTCAAAATTTTCAAGTATTTGAACCCTTTCTTAGGGTTATTTCCTCAATAACTCTTTAGGAGTTTTATGATTTAAGCAATACTAACATTCTACTTATGCTTTCTTTTCATTTTTGGATTTTTATATTTAAAACCATTCATTTTGACACACTTCTAGCATATACTCATTTGCTAATATTTTAACAACTTTTTTCATAGAAATATCAATACAAGCAAAGTACTCAAAGTTTAAATATATGATTTATTACTTTCATTTTGTCAATAGATACATCCATCAATTGATTGTACATAATTTTGAAATTTTAATTCATATTAACTTCTTCGAGAATCTTGGAAAATATATCTTAAGTTATCTCCTGCCTTTATAATATTTATTCCTCTCATCCTGATGCTAGGAATATGATTTCTTTAGATTTACAATCAACAAATTTTGTTGTGAAAAGATCCACAATCAACCTATATAAACTCCTAACCTTCTTTGTGATTATTAAACTAAATATACTCTCAACGCAATATTTCATATTGCTTAAGAGATTATTTTGTTACATTTATATTTAAGCATATATTAATGCCATAATATTTCAAAATATATTTTAAATAATTAAGCATAGGCTTATATATCTCATTAAATCTAATAAAATAATAAAGAAGATTATATTTCAATTATATTTTATAAAAGACTTGGTAATCATGTTATTAAGGGAATATAACACATGAAAAATAACTTAATGGCTAAGTTACTTAGGGTCAAATCATTCTAGAATCAACTTTTTAGTTAGCCTCGATGTTTGATTCTATTAAATTTATATATGTATTTCAAAAGAGAAAACGTTTTAAATATGTGCCTTTAAAAGGCACATAAGAGATGTAACATAGGGGGCATTTGGCCCTATTCTCATTCACAGTTTTAATATTATAACTATTATATGTTTGTACCCTTAAAGTTTAGTAGATTCCAATATAATCTACTATGATACAATTAGCCATATATTAAAAATTTTGTTTTTCCAAGCAACAAAATTCAAGTTTTTCAAGAGCTTTCGATAGTGTACAATATACAAGCTCTTTGGATTTTTCAATCAAGTTTGTAACATGAAATATCACATTAGTTTCAGGCTAAATGTAATTGGGAAAAGTTTTTTTCAAGGATATTTCATTATGGCATAACCTTTTGCACATTGAAAATGGCACACAATTTATCAAGTTCTATTTCAATTATACATTTTGTATAATAGAAGCATGTCTATGCCATATTTTACTTATCATAAAGGCACCATTATACCTTCATTGTGTGATAACAATGCTTTACATAATTTCAACTTTTCATAATTGATTTCATCACTATAATAATCATGCCTCTTTACAAAGTATATCTCTATCAATACATAACCTTTATATTGAGATATATTAGATGAGATTAATATGAATCTCAAAATTTTAGGATATAAATTCCTTATATAAGAAATATTTTTATCAAATTCATATCCATTCATAGATGCATTCTTGCATCTCATCTTTTTATTAGAAATAACTTCTTATTGAGGAGATATAATCTCAAAGATTGAGGAAATTTAATTTTGAAGAATTCTTCTTTTAATTCGCAATTCCCATATCAAGACATATATTTACTTTCTTAATGTTTGATATACTTTTTCCCAATATTCTCAAAATGAATATACTATATATAAGTTTAAAATAAAATTGTGTATCACAAATATCACAAGTGCATATCCATATTATTTTTCACAAATTATATTTTTGCACCTTTTCCCTTCTCATTGGGTAAAGTTTAGAACAAATCCAACAAATACTTGGAGATATATGATAAGCACATAAATTGCTTGGATATACAAAAGATATGTGACCAATATTGATTCATGTCATATCTAAGAATTCTCAAATTCTTTGCCAACTTATTTTGCAAATCTTTTCATTTTTGCATATTCCCATTTCACAACCATATTCATAACCATTATTATAACAATGATTATAACATGATGTCATATTCTCTTCTAGTAATGGAATCCAACCAATGGTTTTGATTGATGATTTTCCATTAATTCATAATTTTGTTGGCAACAAGAAGACATATATTTGCTTTAAATATACAGGTTAAAATTACCTTATCAAGATTGCTACTTTTGGAGCATATTAGAGATATGAAAAGAAAAATGTATATTCTCTTATATGTTTTCATCAATAATAAATTTTCTTATGCATAATAATTCAAAATATTTACATATTTGTACTCGAGTATTAAATAAATCCATTCATAGCTTGCTTTTTGGAAGGGTTGCAATTTTCTTTTGATGATCATCTTTCTTTCAAACTATTCCATGATTCCAATGAATTATTCATCATCAAATGTTCATCTCTTAGTCCTTTTTAGACTTCATAGTAAAGAAATATCATTTCATCACAATCCTTCGAGGGTGTCTTTTCTTAAAAAATATTCTCTCTTTTTAAGAGATACCTTATTTCCTTTCATAATTGAATCTTTAAGATTCATTGGAGGTAAAAGAATTTTCACATCAAGAGTTGATGACAAATGGTTGGAGCTCAATTTATCAAGGGCAATGAACTCAAGTCTTTTAACAAGTGCAAAATAACATATAAACAAGAAAATTGTTATAACACCATAAAATGTTCAAATTAGAAAACAAGAAATTGAAAGATTAGATTGTCTCAAAATTTTACTTCAAAACTTACCTCAACTTGTATCTTTACCTCAACTTGTATCTTTACCTCAATTGATTCATCACCTCAAATAAGATTCATGAATAATAATTTATATAGAGGCAAGTCGTGTTGATAATATATTGTAAAATAAAGAAAGAATCGATTAAAAAAAGAAGAAAAATTAGAGAGACAAAATGAGGTAATGTAAAAATATATTATATTTTCATTCTTTTATTCTCCATTTGTTCTTCGTACATTTGCAAAAATATAAATCCTATATATAAGGGCTAATAGGGGATAGAAGTTATGAGGAACAAACATCTACTAAATGGAAAGTTACAAAGATTAATCTTTTATTAATTGAGAGATTACAAGAAATTTTATTATTACTATCTAAATGTATGATAATATGGAGATATCAATAACCATTGTAATTGCAAGAAAATAATAAAACTTATATCATTATTTAGTACGTAAATGCTATAAAAAGTAAGAAGGTGAAAGAAAAAGGTAAAATATTTACAATAAATTAATCCATAACATTTAACACTTTCTTTTCTGCCAATAGTCAAGCCCATGGTGTCCGAAAAAATATTTTCTTAAAAAGGAAACCAAACGGCACCCATGGTATACGGTTCTTACCAAGGAAAAAACCATTTCAAAATTTTTTTTATATAGCCTAGTAATTCGTCCCAAAGAAGCAATAATTAATGGAGAGGATAGCTGCACATTCAGGTTCCTCTCAATTCCCATTAAGATCGTAGAAAATTTTTGCTATTACAACATTTTAACTCAATTATTTTTAATTTTTTATAAAAAAATATTTTACAAGATAAACTATATATTAAAAGTATAATTTATTTTATAAATTATTAAAATATTTTAATAAAATTATTTTTATCTTATTTTATTAAAAATATTTTAATAAATTATTATAATAAATTATATTTTCAATCTATAGATTAAATTATAAATTATTAATTTTTTAATAAAAATCCAAAAAAATCAGTGACATATTAGTAGGAGTAAAAAAAAATTTGAACAATGAGAGTTTTTTCATAATCGATACCATTTGTCTCTAAAGTCTAAATTAGTTGGAATGCAAGACTAACTATTATATATCTGAAAGTTAATATAAAAAAAAAAATTGTTGAATCTTATGTTGTTGTGGAATATAAAACCGCGGAACAGAAAATTGGGAAGTGACGTGGCCCTGTAATTGCGACAATGCCGACAAGAACACCTATCAAGAATGGCAGAAGGTACAATTCAGCCCCTCTACGTCCATTGTTGTGGCACATCAGCCCCTCTACCTAAAAGTAGAGCAAATCAGCCCCTCCACTTGACAAAACCCGCAAATCAGCCCTTCTGCTGACGATGATCTCATCAAATGTCATCTTTCCGTCCACATCCTTGTTACTCCGTTACCAAGAAATGGCTTGGTGCTGATATGGCATTGGGTAGGTGATGTGGTCAATTTAAACTTCAAAATTATTAAAAAATCCTCATCTACTTCCTTTTCTTCCATTCATCTTCTTTTTCCTCCTTTACATTCTTTTTCTTCGTATTGCAGATTTACTTCTTTTTTTTTTAATAGTTTAAATTGAAATTTTTTTAAAATAAATTTAAACTTTAAAAAATTATTAAAAAAATTCTCAAAATATGAAAATATAAAAGTTAAAAAAAATTTCAAAATTAAAATCAAAACTTGTGGCTTTGTTGACACCAAGTAATTGTGGCTGAATGTAGAGCAAAAGTTTAAATTGACGATGACCTCATCAAGAATTTCTCCTTTCTTTCTGCTAAACGCGCATTTTGAGTCTTTGGCACGCACGTTTCTTGGCCTGCAGTACAGGACGAAGATCCGTGAACTCCCACAACACAATTCACTTTAGGCAGTATAGTCTAGCCAAGAAGAGGTACAGTCAGCAAAGAAAAAGAGAGAAACAGAGATGACTCTGGGTCTGATCAATGCCAACCCCGTCGTTCACGCCAAGAAGGAAAGGGTTGCTCGCACCGAAGATCCTCACGGTGACGACGCCGTTGACCCTCTCGAAATTTATGATATCCTTTTAGTTTCATTTTGTTCCTGAATTAAATCCATGTTTGGAAGACCTACCTGTTCGATTAGTTTGGTTTTTACTTGGATTTGGATTTTACACTTATTGGGTTTGTCGCATTTTATCAGTAATCAAATGGGATGGTGCTCTTTTTTTTTTTTTTTTTTTTTTTTTTTTTTCTTTTTCTTTTTTATTCTTGTTTCTGATTATATGAAAAAGGAATTTGTGATCTTTGACTTGAAGGGTAAATTTTGTGAGGGATATAAGAGATCCAGAGCACCCATATTCATTGGAGCAGCTCAGTGTTCTCTCAGAGGAATCAATCACAGTTGATGAGAAGCTTGGCCGTATTCTGTAAGTATTTTCCTCATACTTATATTTGTTTTAGGTTTCTTAGCTATTTATTACACATATACCATGTAAAATTTTGGGGTATTTGTTTGAAATGATTCTGCTAACAATTCCTATGTTGAGGGAAAATGAACAATTTTATTTCACAATAGAGTCTAACAACAATCCTAAGTGTCAATAATTATGATTAGCTGGAGCACGTGAAGGAGTATGCATTCTATTGTGAGACTTTGTTGTAAGATAAGATTGTATCTTTGTCGACTTTTTAAGTTAAGATTCAATTTCTGGGTTTTGCTGGTAGCATTCTTTAGGAGATCCAAGTACCTTTTGCTGAGAATGATCTATTCGTCAACTTTTTTAAAGGTTGTTTTGAACTTAATTAGGTCCCAGTGCCATTTGATTCTAGCTTCCAATATTTAGTGCTAAAGTTCCATATATGTTTCAGAATAACTTTTACTCCCACCATCCAGCATTGCAGTATGGCGACAGTGATTGGTCTGTGCCTCAGGGTTAAGTTAAAGGAATACTTTCCTCCCCATTTTAAGGTCAGTCTCTGCATTAATATTTAGTAGATGCATTTGTAACTATTCATTGGGTGTTCTGATTTTTCTTTCAAAAATTTTGTTAATTTCTTTGCGAGAATTGATTAGTTGATTTGTTGGCTCAAGGTTTTTTCTCATTTATATGAAGAGTAAAATAATACAACTTGGAGTCTGGCACCCTGGCTTTAAACACTAGGAACACTTCCTGCAATTTTGTTATTATTACGAGGCCTTTCTCAGAAGTCAGAAGACCCCTCCTTTTGATCTGGATCTGATATACATTTTGCGGTTTGCATGGACCCATATAGTAAAATTAATGATCATCTAAGGCATAAGTTTAATTACCCTTTAAAAACAGATCTTTTTTTTTTTTTTTTAAGTTTAATTAATTACCCTTTATTTTTTATCCCTTTGAGCCTGGAATTAGTAGCAATCTGATGCATATGGTGTTCATTTTATCTATTTTGGGTTGAGAAATATGATCTTCACTATCCTCTTTTATTCTTCTTTGCACGTGATTTCCAAGTCAAGTTTGAGAGATCTGGGTTGTCCATTTTGTGCAATCTTCACTGATATACATCTCTGTCCAATGATCTATTTTTACAGCTTGACATTAAAGTAGCTCCTGGATCTCATGCCAATGAAGAATCAGGTGAAAGTGCAAGATTTATATTTTCTTTTTTATGTATATTATATGCCTTGCTTGACGTATCTTGATCATTTACATTAGATCTGTGGTGAACTAGAAAGCACCATCAAAAATGCTACCTATACTCTCATTACCATGAGATGATTAATCCTTCATTGATACTTGAGTGATACAGGAAGTAATGGCAAAATGATATATTGGAACCCAGAATATGTGTTTAATGTTCTAGCAGATTTTTTACCAAATATTGGATATTTTCTTCTCTGAAAAGACTAGATCATTGAGGGCCCAACCCCCTCACAATCTGGAATAGCCATTTGACCTTGAGATAATTCCTATCAAAAGCTATGAATGTTATACCTCATCTTTCCTTGATTTCATGAAGATCAAGTCTCTGTCAAAACTTGCAAGTTGTAGAGCATTTAGCATATCAAACATAATTTGAATATGGTCAGCTTATCTGCTGTTTTCCCTAATTTAATGCTTACAAACTGCACCCTGTTTTCTTTCCAGTTAATAAACAGTTGAATGATAAAGAAAGAGTTGCAGCCGCCTTGGAGAATCCTAACCTTCGCCAACTCGTGGATGAGTGCCTCTACTCTAATGAACTTTGACCAAGTACATTCACCTGCCTTGAAGCTACTAGACAGTACAAATGACAGCAGCTGGTAATTGCAATAAGACGTGGCTCTGTTATGTTATGTTGATCTCCACAATGTATATGCAGTAGTCCAAATGCATCTAGGGGTGTATCGCTGTATGTGAGGAGAAATCAGTAGGGTGGTTGACTATCAGTTTGACTCTATCTTTGCTACGGCCATAGCAATTTGAATGAAAACCGTTTGGTGCCTAATGAATTCTCAAAAATAAATTGATAATGTGTTATGCTTCCTGCTATTATGCCTACCTCCACGCCACACCTGAAGTTCAAATGCTCATGCTCATCTATGTTTTGCCCAACATATGTTTTATGATGATCTGGTTTTCTCAACTAAAGTTGTTTCCACATTGTGGGCAGGCCAAAAAACTAAATTGCTCTCAAGAAAACATGAGTCATCATATTTATAGAAATAATAATAATAATAATAATAATAATAGTATGTGCTACAAAAGCATTGAATTTTGTGTCTGAAGGGTGGGATACTGAAAAACTAGTGACTGTTAGCGGTGACTGGTGAGCTGCAGCGATGAATGTATGCTCAAGGACTGGATATTGTTGCGGTTATCTATCTCGGTTTATTTGATCTGCGCTGTATTTTACGTCTCTTAGTTTCTGATAGACTTTTATGGCAAATAGGCAGGTGTACTCAGCTTGCTGGAGATGCGAGGGGTGCTGGCTCCGGTGCTACCTCAGCTCCCCCTGAAATCCCCTTAGCAATGGGGTAGGGCTTCTCATCAATTCCCCAGAACTTGGCGGTTTTAATGTCATCCTGTTCCATCAGTCGCGAGAACTCCTCGTGGTCATACTTTAGGGTGGCTTTTCCTCCAAACTCACTAGGCAGGTTATCAACATCAAAGAAAGATCCCATGAGCTCCACGCTCTCTTTATTTTTAGGATAAACAAACTTCACCTTTTGAGCTGTTCTTGGATCCAAAAAGTACCTGACAGCCTGTAGAAATGAAAGCAGCATGGTTTTTAATAAGACTTGTACTAAGTCCTGAAAGGAAAATATAAGGCAGAAGTGTATATTGATAGCTTGATGATGCCATATAAGAGGATTGGTGTGTAGCCACAACAGAACTAATAAATACTCTAACTAAACTATTTCCATCCCTCCAATTCCATAGCAACTGAGTACAGGAGAGATGAAAAGACAAAATTTTGGAGAGGGAAACTTTCGTACTCTCCATATCTAGGCCACCTCTATATTTCCTGGTCTCCAATATTTGCTACTTTCAAGATAGAACTAATTAGTAGGTTTATGGACATTCTAGTTAAGCATTCAATTAAAATGAAGAGCAGAAGTAACAATGTTGATGTGATGCAGTTATCTTATATCAAGATAAACCAAACTGGATAAAAAGGAAGGAGATCAAACCTTCCAAAAGGCTTCAAAAATTCTCGGTGGATTATATAAAAATGCAATGGCCAACCTCTCAGGATAGTGGTTCTGTAGAATGTAAATGATATCACGGGCTGTTTTGACTGGAACAGAGGTGCTCAATGAAAATCCGGTGAAGTCTATCAACCATGACGTTTGTTCCTGACCTTCAGCAAGGTTCAGGATAGCATTTTCTAAAAGATACACCAGATGGCGGATGTTGTCTTCCGCTGATTTTGTATTCTGCCAAAACATTAGCAGAAATTTAGTGTCAAGTTACAAAAAGCTTGGTGATGACAGACATACCGAAGGAAATAATGATACAACCTGCTTCCCAGGCCTCATAATAAGCACAGTCCTTCCCTCACGATCATGAAAATTTGCCCTGGAAACTTTTCCAGTCTCACCTTCATGTGCCACCTCATGCTGGACAGGACAAGCAATGTGGTGAGTTCAGGAAAGCAGAATAGAAGCTTATTATGAAAAAGTGGTCCAGGCCAAAGCCTCTTAACCATTTGCACCCAAGGCAAGAACCATCAAAATGAAACTTCATTTCACACTTAATCACTAAGACACTTAATCACTAAGACTGATACTTGAACATCATTCAATCTCTTTTTCCATTAAAAACGTAAACAAAACTGAAAATTAGCACCAAAGAACACTGCTAACATTATAAGCATTTGGTATAAGCATAGCGGTCTGAAGTTTAAATTTTAAAGTCTGTGATGAGATTGCATACTTATCATGAATTTAAGTCAAATAAAAAACATGAGATGACACAGGCCTTTAGCCCTCCAACCAAAGACTTGCAAACCACCATTTATCGGTGATATATGTGGTAAGCAATGGATCTGACATACCCATCGGATTTCTTCAGGCTTATAAGTCAATCGCCACTTTAGTGTCTCTTCCAGCATTTTCTTTGCCTTATCAACATTCCAGTTTCTAGCTTCCAAGTATCTCCTCAGGCATGCATCACTACAATACTTTAAACTGCGTCCAGACAGGGGTCCTAAATTGGTCCTAAGTTCACTGACCTGAAAACCCAACCAAGCATTCAGAGAGACAAAATTGATACCGGAGAGATAAACTGCCTTATGAGCTGTCTTAAACTAAAATCTCATTTGATCATTACCTTTGTTTCATGTTGCTCAGAATCATCCACCTGGTGGTGATCATGAGAGTGCTTTCTCCGGAGAAACATTCTGCTGCAAGTGGAGGTAACATCAATTTAAAGAACGATATAACTTTCCTTAAGGACTATTACGGTTATACTGATACGAAAAAAAAAAAAAAAGAAGAAGAAGAAGCAAAGTTTGACACAATTACTCCATAAATGACAAAACTCAGATTTTCCAAAGACTAAAGGAAAGAGGAGTGCCGATTTTACGAAATCTGATCGGATTAATCCAGAAATAAACTTTCAACAGGTTCCATTGATTTGATTCTCATATTTTACTTTTTTTTTTTTTTTCTTTTACGAAAGATTCTCATATTTTACATAATGAATAAGAAATTAGAGAGGCTAGAGTTGACCAGGAGATTTAAGACGAAACCATTTCTATGGACAAATAACATCAGTTTTCGCATCAAAAAATTCGCCTGAATCTAAGATTAATCAAAGATTAACATTTAACAGATCCAAACCAAAAAATGAAAAATAAAAAAAAATTCTGGAATAGAATCATTCATATACGGGCAGATCTACTTCAGATATAATATTACCACAGAGAATTCAGCAATGGATTTCACAACGGAGAGACGAATTTAGGAATCAAATCAACAAGTAGAACCAAAAAATAAAAAAGAAAAACATGTTCGATGTGATGAAAATGTGAAACAACAGAAGAATACCAAGTGAGACGAACGAAGAAGAGTGAAACGGCAGAATGCTCGAGCTTTCGGAGCAGCAAAAGCAAAATAAGCAGATAGATGGCGAGCTTCTACAGGGGAACAAACTCGGCGTGGTCAGAGGGAAGGGGAGAGGAAGAATGGTTTTACGGTGGGAACGATGGAGAACGCAGTGTGACATTTGACCAAATCGTCGGCGAGTTGGGCGTTACCTTGGAAATCCAGGCAGCTGTGGGCTCCACCACTGACCATTTACTTTTATTTGGGCAAAAACCAACATTTAGCCCCTTACCTTACAAAATTGGTAGGTTTTAACCCTTCACCTTATAATATAACACTTTAGCCCTTTACCTTATAAATTTAGTAGGTTTTAACACCTCACCTTACAAATTTGATAGTTTTAACCCCTCACCTTATATTATGATATTTTTAGCTCCTCACCTATACAAATTGAAGAAAATAACTCACACATAATATTAGGTTATAACATTTTGTCAGTTCTATTAACTGACTGTTAATATCCGTTAGCATTTTGTTATAGAAAATATAAAATTTAAACTCAATTTTATTTGTTAATTCCATTAACGGAATACTAATGAATACTAATAGTCAATTAACAGAACTAACAGAACATTATAACCTAATATTAAGTGAGAGCTATTTTCTTCAATTCATATAGATAAGGAGTTAAAAGTGTTATAGTATAAGGTAAAAAGCTAAAACCTATCAATTTTGTAAAATGAATTATTAAAACCTATCAACTTTATAAGGTAAAGAATTAAAAGTATCATATTATAAAATTAAAAGTTAAAATTTATTAATTTTATAAGATGAGGGGTTCAAAGTTGGTTTTAGCCCTTTTATTTGGCCCTCTCTCATCGTGTATTGAATTTTGAAAGTGATCCTACCAAACTTGGCAATCTTGTTGTACTTTCTCAGGTCTCGACCCTTCTGATGGGCTCTGGTCCCCCCACTTAAATTTATTAGGGAGGTATAATTCTTTAGTTCTAATATCGATTTCTGTGAGTTACATTTAAGTTTTGAGTGATTGTTTGTTTAATATAAAATTGAAACTCCAAATTTTATTGAAAAGGATTGATTTCTTTTCATTGGGTGAATAGGTGGTGTAATTTAATAAGTGTTATAATAACACTAATAATAACTTATTTAAGTTGTTATTTATTAATTTAAAATTAAAATAAAAAAATTTTAATATCTAAAAAATATATATAATACAAATTAATATAAAATAGTTGATTTCTATGGTCATGACAAAAATGCGCATGGCGATAAACAGCCCTCATATTGGCTCCGATTTCCTTTCTAAAAATTGAAGTCAATTCAAAATGTATGAAGATCCTTTCATTGGTAAAAATTTGGAATTCATATTATTTACACTATAAAATATAAATTATAAGTTTTTAAGTGATGTCACATGTTAATAGGTAAAATAAAGTCATATCATATTTATTGATTGAGATACAGATCACTTACTGCATAAAAATTGATTTTGGAGAATAATGATGATTATGTAGTTAATTGCAATTTAAATTGAAAAGAAATAGAAACTTCTATAATTTAGGAGAAAGTGTGATCAAAGTAGCAGTTGAATGGTATAGGTGGCAAAATCTAATGTAGTCTTAACCATGTCATGTCTTGCTGATGTGTCCATTTTTTCTAAAAAAACTATCCATGTTTTGTAACAGTCAGTGAGTGGAACGGGAAGACAGTTTGTAGAAAATGAATAAAAAGAAAAAATTTAGATTATTCAATACATAATTAACCCTATACACAACTCTGAATCAGTTTTAGCATTCTCAAATTTTGTTAGCGACTACTTGCTTTAACTTACAAATTTCATCTTTAACACGATATTTTGTAGATTTTAAGTTATTTCAAATATTCAAATAGCTAAATTAGTTTATGTATTTTCTTCTACAACTGCATCTCATGTAACGGACGATAAGTACTTTAATTTCTATAAAGTACTATTTCTTTTCTGATCATTGTTTATTTTAAGTTTATGGTAAGTAATGTTTTTCATAAAATGATTACTTATATGACGTTCACATTTCTTTCTTATTTTATTTTTCATGTTAGTTTAATTTTTGTTCATACATGTTTTATGGTTAATTAGTTTTAAATTTCTAGTTTATGGTAGTTTAATTTGCAAATTTATTTATAGCCGTAGGTTAATTTGACTCTAAATATGGTAATTTTAATTAAGATACATTCATCTTTTGCAAGTCTATTTAATTTTAATTAAGATACATTCATCTTTTGCAAGTCTATTTTAATTTGCATTTCATTTAGTACATTTAGAATCTATTAACTTTAAATTCGTAGTATTGGTAAAATCCTTGGGATTATCCATGGTAGATTAGTAACCAATTTTGCAGAAAAACATCTCTCCCTTTTACAAATTGTCTAAAAGTGTAGAATTCAATCTTAAACCAACATTCTTCCAACCATTTTAATGGACATCGACCATGTGGAATGGGAGGATCATTAAGAAAATCTTTTTTTCTTGCTTTTCAAAAAAGTGAGTGGCATGTCCACATCCAAATTTATCCCGTGCAAAGTCACTTGGGGGTTTTTGAAGAAACACATCTATACTGTACTATTAAATGTATACAAAAGGTCCAGCTTAGGGTAAGAGAAAGTGTTAGGACACTTTTTTTTTTTTTTTTAACTTAGGAAAATCTTAGATATAAAGGAATTAATAGTTCCTAAGTTCAAAACTCAAAATTCCATATCTTAAGACCTCATTAGAGGGTATAGTTATTGGACCACTTTGTGTTGAACAGTGTTAAGACACTTTTTAATTCCAAACTCAAGTGCCGCCATTCGTCATCCAAAAAATTATCTAAGTCAAAAAAAAAAAAAGAAGAAAAAAAGCTACTAGTTTCGTATCCAAAAGAATTTAAGAATAGAATTGTCTTTTTTTTTTTTCTTCATTTTTCACATAGATTAAGTTAAAAACAAGTCCTTATAACATCAATTAAAAACAAAAAAGAATTTTTAATTTTTTTAGTTTGAATAATTAAGATATCTCCTAACTAATTTATATGAACTTCAAAACTAATTTCTTTCTAATTTTTGCTTAATACAACAGCGGCAAGTGCAAGTCCAAATGAAAAAACTATTAGACGTGGCTTCTTAACATTAAATTAATTAATTTGTTTGATCGTGGTAATTGTGATGATTCAGGCTAGTTAAGAATTTGCCAAAGGCTAATTAAACCAATGTTTTTATGGTCAATTTGATTCCCAAACTTAAAAGTATATATGCTTTCCACACTAATATACTCTACGAGATAATTATATTTCCTCAAAACCTTAGACTTAAAAAGAAAAACTCTGGGTAAAACCCTTGATTGTGAATACCTTCAACAAGAAAAAGAGGGGAAAGAGAATGACATACTTGTAGGCTTATGTGTGCGGGATTGCTGTTTTAACATTTATTTAATGTTATATTTCTTCATACTCAACGAGTCAATAAATACAGTAAATTTGGCCAAAATAAATACAAAAAATATGTCCAATAATCCTGTGGTGTTAGTTTAAGTAATTAAAGAGTCATTTAAACCTTATTGGGGATATGCGTTTAAATCTTTTTAATGTCATTTAAATGTAAATAATTTTGATAATTCATACGAGAAAATTTTATTCAATACTTATAAATAAAATAATTTATAAGTATTTATGATATTAATCAAATTGAAAATTTAGATACTCATATTATTTTTTAAAAAAAATACGGACTTGTAATTTGTTTCATTACCGCCAATGAACGGCACTCCATCGTCAGACTTGGACGGAGCAGAAAGTATAGCATGGCCTATTCCTAGTATTTACTAGAATAAACTCAAACCGGCCACCTTTTATTTTACTGAATTTTTTTTTTTTTTATCTTGAAAAGGGGAGTCTTGGTAGAAGGGGGAATATCATTTCATGACTGTTGAAAAAGCAAATAAATCGTCTTTTTTTTTTTCTTCTAATAAAAGCATACATGGCATGCCAAGAAAACCAAACAGTTATTGCAGACTCCTCCCCCTTTTTTTTTTAACGCAAGGGAATTTTTAGGAATAGGGAAATCCAGATTGAGCTTACCAAACAACAAGAAACATGTCAAATTGACCGACTTGATATTATACATATAGTAGTAATAATTAGTTTAGGCCACCTCTAATGAGTTAAACTTGTATTTGTAAGGATCTGAATAGAAAATGGAACATGAGAAAAAGACTTGAAGCACTATTTTTCTTCTTCATTAAGGTCTCACTGAATAACACACCTCAAAATTAATTTCATTACAAACAATCATAAGAACATATTGCTACATTAACTTAAGATGTTTAAGAAAATAGATTTTGAGATTAAACTTGACTTTAAGCCTGATCTTTATAGTAACATTTACTTATTAGTAGATTAAATTTTGTTAAAATTAAATAATGATAGTGGAATAATATTAGAACAAGAACCAACATACACGGGGGCTTGAGAAAATCAACCCCCAAAGCTTCAGCAAGAAGAAAGATATAATGGGATTGTTTTCTCAAAAATCCTTAACTAGCCCTAACCACGTGAGTTTAGTGACAAGGCGTGCCACTTTGTTTAAAAACAAAAAAATTGGATTTTTCAAACCACCCTTCCTCTTTTCAAAAGTTGACCTCCAAAAGGATGATTAGAAAAAATGTCTGTGAATTAAACTACACCTCAAATGATGTTGCAAAATAGAGGGTGGAGTTTTACAAAATGGGTTAGTAATTACCTTGAACACCTCCAAGAACATTAAAACCAAAATGGTATAATAAAAGCTATAAATCTTAAATTAAACACAATATCCTAAAGTAATTATCCTAACACAAAATAAATAAAATAAAATAACATGCTACAAAAATAAATTTGCAGACAACATACTATGTAAAATTGTAGAAAATGATCTTAACTATGCAATCCATCAGGATTTCTTAGAAATTAAACTAATTACTTGCAAAGTTAAAACAAAGAAAATTAAACTATTTGATTACTAAAACAAAAGTTAATTTACAAATTGATTAAAATCTAAAAACTTGTGAAATTAAATCATAATCTATAAATTGAAGTTAAACAAGCTGTAAGTCTAGTAACTATGCAAAAGCACAAAAGAGAAGGCAAAAGTATTCAACCCATTTACATAAACAAATAATAAAAATGAATCCATAGAAGAAAAAAAAACTAATCAAATCAATGGGGTAAACCTGCTTACAAGATTGAATAGCTTCTAAGTCCTTAAAAATTAACAAAAGTTGCAATATTTGAAGGTAAATACAAACAAGGATGGAAAACCTAAACTAAAACTAAAAACAAGAGCAGATCTTGCACTATAATTTGGTGATCATGCTAAAATCTAAAAGAAAAAGTTTGAAAATTGAAGATGCGTACATGTTAGGTGATTTGTGGTCATCTAAAACTAATCCTTTTCCTCTCTTTTGTTTATCTCTCTTGCTCAATAGTTTCCCTCCATGATTCTCGCTTCTGCCTTTGCAAAAACCTACCATAAAGGGCCACATTTGAGAGCAATATTCCCCTATCGGCAATTGACGATTAATTCCAAATAAATCTCCAATCAAATCCAGGTAAATCTTCCTAAAATCTCTCCACAATCTCCTAATTAGGTTAAATTTTCACTACTTAAAAGGCTTACCCTACTTGAACTCTAGCTACCCCATCATAACCCATTTGGTCTGAAGCCCAAATTATCTATGGGCTAAACTCAACTCATTATTAATTCTCTGCAAATGTAACCCAATTATTCTTGGAAAACATACACGTATCCTCACCCTTTTTAATTTATTTTTAGTGTAAACAAGGACATTCTTCAAAAATAAGAAAGTAATGTAAAGGAAGATTCCCATTTTAGAGAACTGATCGGCACAAATGTTCTCTTCCCAAACCACATGATGAACTAGGGCAAAATTCTTCATCAGCCCTGCAGTCCCAAATGAAAGTGCTAAATGAGAATCATAAACAAAAGAAGATAAAAGTTGCACAGCAGTCACGTGATCAGTTTCAAGAACGATGTAAGAGAAGCCTCCGCTAACAGATATTTGTAGTCCGTCACGGATTTTTCCCACACCTAAGCACAAAGGCTGTCTGTGATGCCGAGGATCCGATAGCCATGGTGATTCCTCAACAGCACCGTCAGTGTTGGGTTTAATAAAATTTTCAGGATATCTACATCCCTAAAAAAATTTTTTTTTTTCGTTCTAGGAGTGCCACCATAAAATCAATAACAAGAAGTGATATAAACTTTTTGCACTCTTAATTTTAAGGATTTAAAACAAAAAGAGATAAAACTGTTATATTTTTAATCAAAACATTCTTCAAAATAATAGTAATCTTTATTAATAAAAAATCAATTTTTTATTAAAAATTTTTAAAAAGTCACTTCTTATTTGTTCAAACTCTCTCCGTTCTTATGTTCTCTCCATTTTTATGTTCAACTCTTACGATAGTTGTATCTCCTCTTTCTTAAAAACATTCGGTGAAGAATAGCGACCTGGGTGGATTCGAACCACCATCCTCTCAAATCCCCCATTCGGAATCCGAGCGCTCCACCATTTTGAGCTTACAGATCCATCAAACGTAATAAATCATAGGGACCCCATCTCAGGCCCAGCTTAAAATATAATATAACGACCATAACATATAAAAATTGCCAAATAGAGAGCCTATTAAGTTATTCATATAACGTAATCAGCGTTACAATTTTTTTTTTTTCAATGATAGCACTTTTACCTCTCTTTCTCCACCCTAGGCACAAATTTATTCAAAATTTTACGTCAATCAAACTTTCGCAGAACCTTCATATTTCATTGAAATGGACATTTTCAACAAGTCTAAAATTTCACCAAAAACACGCAAAAGCTACCCAATGTTATTTTCATTAATCCTAATAATTAAATTATCTGTACGTCAGTTTTTACGTAGAAAAGAAAAAAACAAAACACTATAAAAGGTCCTCATCTGTAGAAAACAATAAAACTCCAGAGAAACCAACAATCAACATAAAAAATTACACCCCATTTAAAAACCCAAACCAGAATCAAAAGATTGATCCAGCGAAAATGATTAACTGCTTGCAGACTAATCTCATTCACATGCACGGCTTTCCATCACGTGGGACTAAACCGCAATCAAAGGAAATTTTACACAAATACCTAGTCTAAACCAATCAAATGACCCGAAAAAAGCACCTAAGGACTGAAATTCGACACCTAATAGAATACTCAGTAATTAAATAAAAAGAAACGGCTGGGGCAATTTCTTGAAATAAAATATAATTTTTTTTAAAAAGAAATCGATCTCACTAAAATTACTTGCCCAAATTCAAAACCCTGGCACTGCAGAGGCAGCACACAGCGAAAAATAATAATAGTAATAATAATAATAATAATAATAATAATATATTAAAATAAAGAACGCCAAAATTTACGTGGAAAACTCCCTCTTACGAGGGAGAAAAACCACGGGACCGAAGTCCACTTCAACTTTTCACTATGTAAAAAAAATTGGGTGTACAATCAACCTATACCTCAGAATGAGCATCTGCCATTCTCCACGTCATGACCAGAGTGGCAACGTTCATCAGTGAGAACATCACTGGGGCATATTTTGTTCGCCCCACAGCTCCCCTCCCCCAACCCCTATTAAAAATATATAATAGTTGTAATGGGGAATTGCCCTTGTTCAAAAAACGAGCATCTGCCAAACAAATTCCAAACGGCGGAACCACAAAATATCACCTTAAGAGTACTGCATCACATGGACAGCTGGAAGGATCGCAAACATGTCAGTGCAACCACCAAGCGTTGCCAAGCATCTCCAGGATACAGACCTGCTGCCAAGATAACTTCAATAGTTCTTAGGCGACCGTCAAAAGATTAGATACCACCTTCAAAGGAAAACAGATTTGCTGAGGTTGAAAGAAATATAGGCTGGTTGCTTCATCGTACATCTATCAAAGTGTTTCCTCTAAGCTTCTCGGCACATCCACCAAATCTTCATGCTAGTACAGCAACTCAGCCTTCAACCAAATCAAAGTAGTAGAGCCCAACCAAGGGGCTAACACTACAGAGCACAATACAAGCAAAATACTGTCTAGCTCACCTAAAAAAAATATAGAATAGCTAATACCTTCAACTGTACAACTCAAAATAATAGAGTCCAGAAAGATGACTGCTTAAAACATTATAATATGACAATATAATTGGACTACTAACACCTTTTTAATGAGCAAATAGGGGAACTGAAAGAAACAGCTGCAATTTTTTTGGGAGTTAATGAACACAGGAATTAGAGTATTCTTGCACCATGGAAACATGCAACTATTTGCTGAACAGAATAGAGGTATGCTTTTGGGCAGTTCATGTTGAAGGATCACCAGTATAAGTAGAAATTAAAAAAGCAACCTGATGAAATTAATCTAATAACAGAACCTTGGCCATTGCTCATAATTACCATTTGGTTGGGATGACTGATGGTGCAAAATGCTTTAAAGCAAGATAGTAATTTTTAGTCAACAAATTCATATCAATTTTTAAATCAGTTCTCAAATAAAAGTCTTACCAACTTTACCAGTAGTTTATCAGGGCTCTATATATAAAAAGGGCAAGCATATCAACCTACTGTACAGCTCCAAATTTCATCCAGATTGGTTTGAAGAACTAATGTAAAGTTAAAACACTGTATGAAAAAACTTATAAGGTGAAAATTTAAAAGGATTATTATATCAAATTTAAAAGATAACTGAAAATTTTTAAAATTAAATAGGAAGAAAAAGCACAGGCTTCCAAAATCAAAAATTATGCTAAGAATATCCCATATTTTATCAGGTTTATGAAATGTTCCAGCTTATATTACGGCTACAGCTATGATTAAAACCGTTGGTCACAAAATGAATCTCATTTAAAAGTGAAAGATTTGAAGTGTTCGTTTTGAATTATTGCGTCCCATTTGAAAAAAATTTCATTTAGGAAGAAAATTACCAAAGTCAAGTAAAAATTATTGAAATTTGGTTATAAATCTACCGACCAGACTACTGTATAACTATATATCATATTTGGATAAAATGCAATGAAAGTGAAATCCGATAAAACATGGAGAGTATACCTTTATGCTTGGAAGGCTGAGCATAGTTGATCATGGTTGAAATATTTGCGTGGTGATGATCATCATTAGCTATTCCGTTGATGTAATTGTATCCATGTCTATGGTGATCCGGATGCCATGAGCCCGTGAAAGCATTTATGATGGGAAACGTAAAACAAAGAAGAAAAAGAAGCAGGACACGGCACACCAGAGGGGAGAACCTGGGCAAACCCCATGCGATCTCCCCTCAAAACGCAAAAAGATGAATTTTTATTAAGATTTGGTGACCTGCCATGCAAGCGCACCTGTCATGGCAAAGGTCGGGATGACAGATAAATCAGGACTCAGCCCCCCTGAACAAGGGTATTTTTGCCCTGACATCTTACACATCCACTTAACAGATAACCAACCATATACCACATCAATATCTCAGAAGCTTCAATGGATCTCGTCCCGATACCTCAGATGAAATAAAATTCATCAGCTTCCTTTGCGCAAACCAACCTCCAAAGGCGGCTTTGATTCTCACAAGCACGAGGATCTGAAAGCTTTGCCCTCTGATAATGAT